TTTACAAAAGGAACTTTCACCTAATCAAAAGAGCTCAAGCCAGTGCCTAGGATTTTAGCACTAGAAGAGACAGAAATGATAAGGGGTCAAACATCCTTCCCTTTTATGTATGAATTAAATCAAGTCCTGGAGTCAAGGCATTGCTTAAGCAGGCACGGTAGTGTTAGTCTACTGTGTGGACCCACACCTGATATTCTCCATGCTCACTCAACACAACTCATTGGGGGGTCTCAGCCCTGCCCTTGGCACTGATCTGAAGCAGAACACCCTTGTAAGCCAGAAAGCTGGATGGCCCAGGCAAAATGGAAAGGCTTTTATCTCAGAATGAGGAGACGGCTGAGTGGTGATACTCCTGCATCACTTGGCATCTCCAGCTCCCATGGGACCTGCCCTCAATTGCTAAAAGAGCCTGACCTCTGACAAAGACCAATGATTTCCGCAGTAATTAATGATACTGTCAAATTAATTAACCCAAGTCTTTGTCCACAGGAAAAAAAAACACTCTAATGTCAATACTACTGTTTACTAGTCCTTGATCAAGCTCTATACACCCAAACCTTCAGTCAGGACACATGAACACCACTGGCTGATGACCCCAGAGAGGCCCAACCTATTAAGCCATTTGTTAATAAACCTTCTCACAGTAACATATCCTTTGATAACAGGACTTTAGCAAATTAACAGCTCTCCAAAATCTAACATGATATTTAAAAGACACAAGCCCAAGAATGCCAGTGTGTATCATTCATATTTCTTACAACACGTTTTCGATACCCTTTTGAATTATGGTGATGAAAATCTAGACAAATGCTGTAGGATTTCATTAAGCCATTTAATAAATGGCCCTCATTAAAACTCTGGTTCCCTTGTCCTTGTCTATAAGGACTCTGACTCATAATAAATGCTCACGTATACATTTCCATATTATCTCTTTAAAGGATTCTAAACTATTTTCTTACACCTAACATGGCTTTTATTCCATTTAGAATAATTACCCTCCATCCCATTTCTGACTTTCAAGAAAAACAAGACATTTAATTGACCACAGGAGGACTCTCTCAAGGGCATCAGACTGCAAAAGCTCTTCTGTGAGCTCACAACTTAAGCTGATGTAATCTGCTACAAGAAGCTGACTTCTATTTTTAAATCATACCGTTTTACTCTGCCTTCAAAGGGCACATATATCACACGTTGTAGCTGCTCATAAAATACTTCGTGGTGTAGTCTCCCGTCCATTTCCCTCCTGGGGTGAATCACACTGTCAGGAGGGGCTTCCTACTGCTCACAGCCATCCAGCCCTGCACATTTAAATTCATCCACCATTTCCTATTATTTGGTCTTTAGGAGAATAGCTACATATGGTCACACTCTCCAGGTGTCTTGTTTATCACGGTAATTTTGACAAGGAACAGATGACTAGCAGGGTCCTTCTTGAGGGTTGGGATCAAGCTTTTCCACCTCTTTATACTTCCATCCCCAAATATAGGCACTTAATAAATGCTTATTAGTGTTGCTGCTGAGAGATCTGTCATCAGGCCTAGGTGCTTCCAAGGGTGTAAGAATGAAAACAGATTATTTGCTTTGTTTAAGTTTTTCATTCATCATTTTGGTCATACCCACTGTGTGTTATTTGAAAGTTGCTTAGCACTTTGAAAATACTATGAGAAAAGCCTTGGTTGGAAGGGAAAGTACACGATTTTGCTATTTGTTTATTTATACTTATTCTGCTCATTTCTAAGAGGAAGGAAGACTCTATGATTAAAATACTGCTGCTGTGAAGTGCAAGAGAGGGCAGAACATATACTTCCCTGGTCTATGTGCGTCTTTGTTCCGTGACACCCCATGTCTCACCTGGATTTTTTTTTTTAATGTTTTTTTTTAATTTATTTCTAGGAGAGAGACAGCGTGAGCAGGGGAGGGTTAGAGAGAGAGTCACAGACTGAAACAGGCTCCAGGCTCTGAGCTGGCAGTCAGCACAGAGCCCGACGCGGGGCTCGAACCCACGAACCGCGAGATCATGACCTAAGCGAAAGTCGGACACTTAACCGACTAAGCCACCCAGGCGCCCCTGTCTCACCTGGATTTGTATAAAAGTCTCCCAGCAGCTCTCCCAGCTTCAAGGCTTGGGTCCTTTCAATCCCTTCTCTAGGGATTGAATCTCTAGATTACCTTCTGGGGGAGCCAGTGAGAACACAAAGGTGATCATGCTTCCTTTGAAAGCTCCTCGTATGTGTCCCCATGATACCTACCACGTGCTGCCACCGGCAATGGTTCATCATACTGCATCAAGTTTACCTGCTTGATCCCCAAGTGACTACATTCTTTGGGTGAAAGAATAGATGAATGAATGCATACTAAGTATGCAATACTAAGTATTGCACCTAGGGAGAAATCACATCTGTGAGGATAAATTACAATACTGTCTCCTTGTAAAGTGTGAAACCAAGGAACTGAATTTATTGAAAAATACCACGTTCGTTCAGGATTCATCAGTTGAAATATGAAGGTGACAGCTAGCTCCACAGAGACTGAAATTCTCCTTCCCACAGTGACACCTAAGGAGCCACCCACAGCCAGACCCCTCTCCCAGAGGATACAGAAATGTGTTTCAGTAGCATGTTTCTGAGAGATAAATGGAGACTCTGTTTAAAGTGGAATCCCACTGGGACAAAACACTAAAGCTTGCTCACAGTTAAATTTTGTGTTATAAACTCCAAGCAAACAGCACACTCCACAATTTAAATTCATTCCAAAGAAAGCAGCAAGCCACAAGTTCATAATGTTACTTCTTACCTGCAAAATCATAAGTCAATTCCAGTTGCAGGTGGTGGCAATGCCCTATCGATCTGAGAAACAGTGGGTCTGGAACTTCAAGCTCAATGGCTGGAATCTACCATCTGATTTGAGAGCTAACTTGGGGGCCAGGTGCTGGTCTGGCCCTGGGGTATGCCAGTGAAAGATAAATCTGGTCCCTGTCCTCATGGACAGTTCTGCCTAATCAAATATACACTTTAATACAGACTTCTTAAACAAAAAATTCTTTCCCTAAATTCCAAGTACACCATGTTCAGCTATTAAATTAAATCCAGGACACATGGGATTGTAGAGTAAGGCATTGCTTCAGCTACTTCTGCATGGCAAAAGGATTTTTTAAAACCATGTTTTCCAAAATCAACAGATGGATGACACTAAAGAGTAGGTAATGTTTCAACATTTAAGCCAAATGACGAAGTGCTTGGTTTTTATTTCATCCTTACACAGCTAGTAACCACCCTCCAAAACAAAACCAAATAAACATAATTCCACGTGAAATTCTGCCTTCCAGAGTAATTGTATGTTTGTTTTTATTTACATGGCACAAAAAAAGCATTCAATATATGTTTGTTGAATAAATAAGCCACAGGACAGGTATTACTATGAAAATGATGGGCAATTTTAGATATGTTCTTCAACTTCCTTTTTTTCTTTCCTCTTAATGAAAAAAATTATGCATATTTTCTAGGTTTCTGACTTTCATTTCCTTGTCTGACCTCGGACTTGTTACTTAACCTAGGTATCATTTTCTGTATCTTGATTATTGTGAGGCTTAAAGGAAATAATAAATATAAAATGACTGACACTATTCCCTGCCGGTACGGTCTTGTTTGTTTATTTTAACTTCTCTACTCCATCCTCCTCCAATCCCCAAATAAAGTGTCAAAGACAAACCAAATTACGGGCCTGATGAGAAAGTCAGGAAATTTCTCATGTATGCTGGGCCTTGATTTTCTCTCTTCTAGAATGAGGGAGTTTTACTAGTTCATGCCTTTTCAGTTCAGATTTCCCATGAATTCAGAAATACGTCTTGCCAAGAAGTTAGATGCTGCTACTGCATTAAGGTTATCTACAATCAAAATAAAATAAACCCTGATTCCCTTCATAGAGAGGAATTCCAAATTGCAAATGAAAATAAAATTTGGCTTTTAAAAGATTTTGTATCAGTTTAATACTAGGCCAAGAATTGGTGACCCTATTTTTAAGCAACAGAAAGTCCCTCCTTTCCCCTATCACACAGACACACAGACACAGACACACACATAACCTCGTACACACTAGCAGGGTTTCCTATTTACAACTCCACATGATGTACCTAAAAAGAAATCTAGGGATTTTAAGCAACATCACTAATTACAAATGGATGACTTGAAATGAATAAGATAATTGACATAATATTATGTCAAACCTAACATTTGTTTGATTTTTTTCTTTCACACCCTGAAATACATCCAAATCAACCAAACAAAGAACTACCAAGATTGTACACAAGTCACTGCATATTCATAAATACTCAATGTATGACTGCCACCTAGTGGTGGGAAATATCTTTGTATGGCCAAATCTCCAAACAGCTAAATTGAAGCAAGATAATTAAAAAACCAAGGGAACATTGTTCTTCTGCTACTCACCAGTTATCTCAGGGAAATTTAAGAGCATAACCACCTCATCAGCTATTTATTTTCCTCAGACAAATTTCTGAAGTGGTCTATTGCAGATGCCACATTAGTTGATCCCACAACCAAACCCCACTGCTTCTCAACCACTTCACAAAACAAAGGAGAATTGTTATTCTATTAATTTTAATACTCATTAGCAATTTTAAAAGATTTCTCCAATACCCTGTCCTCACTTTCCAGTTTCATTTGATCTAATTTTGATTTTTAGTTATGCATGAAAAAGCATTTTAAAGTAACAACCTTACAAAAAGTGTACATTAGATAAAAATCCAACTTCAATTAGAACCAGTTACTAAATCCCAGCAATTTCCAGCTGTCTCTTCTATTTTACCCTTGGAGAATTATATATCACATTAATTGGTATTCTGTCACATAAAAAGACACTGGCGATGATTAATTGCATCCTTGGTGCTTTTGAGTTATGTCTTCTTCACTAGAGTGACTCAAATTACACCTCATTACCTTCCAGCAGGTACCCCTCTTGGTAACCTTCATAAAATCTCCTACCTTCCTGAACTTCTCCATTTGCTTGTAGAGGTCTGGATCAAGCTCCTGTGACACATCCTTCATCCATAATAATGCCCCTCTGTATTCAGTCCGGCACTGTTCCATGCGATTCACCGTCAGCCAAGTGTCTGAGATGGCCCGGTGCCGAAAAGTCTCCACTTCTTGGTGAAATCGACACAAAGGATTTCTCAAAGCCAACCTAGTTAAGAGGATAAAGCCATAATCTTGAAACTAAGTGGGCCAGCAATTTGCATTCCTGACAGTTTACCAGTCTTGAATTCATGAGCCTAGACCGTGCCTAGAATATAGACAATGCTGCAGAAGTATTTGATGGATTAGAATTGAAACGTATGAACTGATGAGTCCAGAAGAAATGATTACCCATGTACTGATCACTTAGATAACGGTTACTTGAATGTCCCATTGGGAAATATTTCCAATAGTACTGTTGGGTGGTTGCATGCCTAGGCAAAGAGTACCTGTCTGAAGCTGGAACCAATCCTGCGTTCATGGAGAAGGGTCAAGGCCTAACCATTTCCCATTTCTATTCTTGGCATTCCCTGCTTCTGCTCCTCTGAAACTTGGCTCTTTGAGAAGGGATGGACTTGTATTTCACTAGGGTCTCCCTGGCTAGGTTAGATTACTCTCCAAATGCTATCTTCTGCTTGCTCCAGTCACAGAGAATGAAGAATGAACAGAAGCATTTTCAAATGGTCTAGGAAGGGAGAGAAGCACTGAGGTCTACTGTGTTAGGTACGTTCTGATAGATTATAGGATTGAGCCTCATAAAGAAACAAAACTTGAGGATCCTACCAGAAATGAATGTATATCATACAATCAAGGGTAGAAAATACCCACTTGATTAGCTGTAACATATCATCATTTAGTAAGCAAAAAAATGTCTGAGGCATATCAAACTTTGGATGAAATATTTTACAGGGAAGGGAAATACTGCTTCTTCCATCCTTCTACCACAGATGAGTAACATTACATGAATTACACTGTCATCGTCCTAAGATATAGTTGTCTGCATGAAGCTGCAAGGCATAGGTTCAAAACATAAAGATAAGATGAAGAATTACATTTCAATTGAAATGCAAACTTATTTAGCTGAAAGGGATAGTGGTATTAGCGAGGTGAAGTCAGTGCTTGGCATCTCTACCAGCGTCTGCAGTGCCTCACATGTGCACATCACTGGAATATTACAGATGGGGCAATAAACAGTTTAAAAAAAAAACAAACCCTTTTTTATTTTCTCCAGTTTTCCTCTTTTCTGTAAAGCATTGTTGTTAAATAGTCAGCATTTCTCTAAAAGTAATTTGCTCACATCATCCTACCAAAGTGTTGCAGGTGGTTTTCAGACATATTATGGTGCCATAAAGTAAGCTTGTCCTTTATCGCCATTGGATTAAATTTAATACCCACCTTTCATCAAACTGAATGCACAGTTGTAGCAATGACTATCAAATAAGTCAGAAAAACAAATGCTGGTGTGAAGGTTTATAAAACTGGAGACTTCTATTTAAAGAGAGAAAGAGTCCTCAGCTGTCCCCCTCAGGATCCTTTTCATTTTTGGACTCCTTTTTCTCTTCCCTTGGACCCTGCCAATTTCCCTAAACTGGCTGAAAAAGACTCTTATGAATAAAATATTCTCAATTTCTTTGACTGTTGTAAAGTTAGAAACCTTTGAAGAGGTAATGACATGGTGATAGATGTTAAGATCTTGAAGAAAAGAAAAAAGCATACAAAATCACCTCATTTTTTTTTCTGTAACTGCTTCATATAAGATTAGAAAGGTGAAAACCGGTTCACTTGTGGTACCAAGGACTGAGTCTAGACCAACGAAAAACTCAATAACCAGAAATACCAAGCTTCAGTGAAAGACTGGTACACATTTTCATTGATGAAAACCTACCCAAGGGGAATAATTAATAAAGTACCTAAAGGTCTACTCCAAAGACATTGATCCTTTAGTAGGAAAATGTGGAAGTGACTCAAGTAATAAACAGAAAGGCTCAGGTTAAGCATATCACGGAATGCCCCGGAATACAATGCTATAGATATCTTTTAAAACGTATACATGGACAGCAAAAGGTGTTAGGGTTATTTGATCAAAAAAATCAATGATCAGCAAGTAGCACTACAAAAAAAAAAAAAAAAAAACCTGTCTGGATGATGTTTCTATTAAAAATATATCTCGGCATATTCTAAATTACATCCATTCAAGATCTGAAACTTCAACTTTGTGAAAGTTTTAGGTCATCCTCTACTGTGTTCACCTTTGGGAGGACTGGTTTGGGTGTCATGTGCCCGGTCAGCAGCTGAGTGCTGTGAAACCGAAGTCCCCGTGCAAGAGGTCACCTTCCAAATCTTAAAGTTGTCCAGGCTGCATTTAAATTATGGATATAGTGCATTTTGCTAGTTTATAGTGAAGATGCTTTGAAGTACTCTTTGCATTGTTTCTGTTAATTTCTTTTACTATTTTTGTTTATACCCAAAGGTTAGACTATATAAACTTAAGGTACCATATGTGTGTTCTGGGAGATAATTTGGTACACAACTCTGACAGGGTGTAACTGGAGAGCCCTATTATAAAATAATTATGTGATCAGGAATGGTAACTCTTACAGTGACTGTGTCCAGGGATTTGGCTTGGTTTCCCATAAACTGATGTAAAATTTGGCATACAGGTTAAGTATAAGAATTTTTCCCATTGAAACTAGTGGTAAGTATATATTTAACATATGAGAATATACTCTTTGAAAGATTTATTGAGAACCAATTATCTTGGTAAGGTTGGGAAAAGTATATACACATAGAAAATGTCTATCAAAGCATTAAAAGTGGGTCATCTCGACTAGTAAAATTGTAACCGCTTTTTAATTTTCTCCTTTGGATTTGACTCTGTTTTAAATTTTTCCTTCAGTAGTATTATTTTTACAAGATAAAATGATTATAAATAAGACCAAAAGGTGCTAAGGGAAAATGATAAACACTTTTCTCGGAAGACAAGTACAGAACTATTGGATGTGGCTTCATTCAACTATGAAAGTTGGCACTGCCCACAAAGTCAGGGTCCAGATGTATTAGGAAGAACCAGCAGAAGCAACACTCCCAGGAGAAGGACCACAGGAAACTGACACCGGTGGTCTCTTCCTTCTACTCCACCTCTTGTAGGTTTTCATTGAAACACCTGTGTAACAGGCCGATGGCCTGATCTTGGCGCACAGGGAAGGAAAGAAGGAGAAATTGGGAGAAGAAAATGTTGGACAGTTGGAGGAAGTGAAAGTTTTGTAACCTGAAAATTGTTGGAAACTACCTACATGTCTTATTTAGGTCTTGCCTAATATTATTAAGTGACATTTTTAGGCTAATTAAGGACTGGAGGAAGAGGAATGGAGAAGGAGTGTCACTTTCCTCAGGCACTAAATGCAACTATATGCACCGGCTCCTGCTTATTCTACACCAACCATAAAAATGAGTGGGGAGAATGTTAAAAAAAATGTCACTCATCTGCCACAATTTCCTCTCTACCAGAGCTTCTCAAACTTAAATGTACATAAAAATCAACGTAGGAAGGGAGGAGAGGAGGGGGAAACTTGTTAAAATGCAGGTTTGGATTCAGCAGTTGTGGGATGGGGCCTAAATTCTGCATTTCTAACAAGCTTCTAGGGGATACTGCTGATGTTGCTGATCCAGAGTCTGAGCAAAATGGTTCCAGGAATCATGCACACCACCTCTCCAAAGTTAATTGGCCTATAGAGAGCAGACAGGCAACCCTTCCACCTGGTCTCATTAGGCTCCTGCTTTAATCAGCTGCTGGAAGGGGACCAGCCTGACTGCTATGGGAAACGCTGAAGGTCAAACATAAGCCTAGGCAGTACTCACAGTGATTGTCAAGTAAAATCCTCCCTATAGACCAGGGGAAATATGAAAAAAAAAAAAAAAAAAAAAAAAAACCTTAAAAATTAATACAGTGGAAAAAATATTACATGTTATCTTAATCAGAGTGTTAAGTAACTACAGATTAATAACTGAAAACAGAGTAGCTCCTCAGTCTCAGGAAAGAAACTTGTAAAGAACAGGAGAGCCCCCTTCATGGCTGGGTAGATCCCAGATTCTCCGCTGATCCCCCAAATGGAGCCCCAGTGAAGGCCACACACCTTTGCTGGGAAGAAAAGCAGAGGGCCTTTCCTGTTGCTTGCATCATCTTTCCTGCTCTGGTTTTGTCTTGGAAGCCTTGGGATCGGAGAAATTTTCCCAGTTCGTTTTCTTCTTGAGATAAGACTGATGAAGAAAAGACCAAAAGGAGCCATGAACAATGAACAGTTCTATTACAGAGAGGAGAGACCCACCACAAGCTCCTCTCTCTTTTAGAGGGAAAGACAGGATGAAATTAAATCCACGTGGCAAGCTACAAGGTAAGCCCCTCCCCCTCCCCATTTAACTTTCATGCTGTCCCTCCATTTGCAAAAGGAGAGATCAAATTCACTTGAGTACATCTGTCAGTGCGTTTGGTGCCCTGTAATCTGAACCAGAAAATGACCTCTGCACTGAAAAACTAGCCGATAATGTGCTGCTTCGAGCTGAAATAAAGAAAGTTGGGTTTGTCAACTATGACTGTGGGAACCTTTTGTGGCTGCTTATAACATAGGGCCAGTTTCCTCTGCTTTTTCTCTCTCACTGGCTTTTTGATCTCTGCTTTCAGAGGTACATTCTACTTGACTGCAAAACAATTCCATACCTTATTCATGATGTGGGTTTTTGCTGTAAGTGGGAGTGGGAATTGAGGGTGGGCAGGTAATTGGGTTGATATCTCAGTGGGTTTTTTAAATGCAGAGTTGGAACCATGAATTGGTCATGCCTAATCTTGGCCTTATTTTTAAAGACAACCTCAGGTGGTACTGCTGGTGAGATAGTGATTGTTACAGCTTTCTGCAGATTCATTTGGCAGTAAATATAACATATCACAGAATTCTATGTATCTTTTGAGATTGTACTTTTGACTGTTAGCACTTTCTAAGGAATTAGTGAAATGGGCACAAAGCTGTACACAGAAAAGTAATCAAAACATCAATATTTATAAAGCAAAACACTTTTTTCTCTACACTGGGGACTGATTCATCAACGAGTATGTATCCAAAAAATGGAATGGTGGGCTATTATCCAGTCACTGGTCCCAAATCTACGTTTACCAACAGCTGAGCAAAGAATGGCACTGAGTTCCCTAAATGTTTTCTTTTCAAAATACAGCCCTTCTGTGGACTGACTTTGACCACTACTCTGATTTCACATTTCCTTATTTATGCATTTACACATCACGTGTCTCTAAAAATGCTTTTTGAATGCTATGAGGATTCTTGTCCATTTTCATGAACAATCCAGAATTCCTTCAGAATGCACCCCATTCATGACACAACATCTCCAACAAGAGCATTAGCCAGGAACCACAAATCCAAAGGTGAAGGTTACAATTGTTACTGCTTCCTTATTAATGTGTGACTGTAGTTCACATGAAACTTTCCAGAGGAAGAGGCTTCTGGAATCTACTCTTCCTGAGAACTACATGACTACCCTCTTTCCTCTCTGGCCCTCAAGAATCACGTTCACTAGTCAAAGTCTGCTCAAAGACTACTTCGCTGTGAAGCAGATGATCCCTGTTTCTCTGTGACAGCAGTGCCCTCTTGGCTTCTGGTATTAGGTTGTTTGTGGTTGGGCACGTGTCTGTCTATCTCATGACACTCTAACTTTCTCAGGACAGGGACTTCATCCAACTATGGACTCCCCAGGCTGAGCATAATGTCTTAGGGTACTATTAAGTGCTCATAAAATTAACTATAATTTTTGCCTTATTATCCTCATATACTTTATTTCACTTTATTTTCCCCCACCACTTCCTGTCCCACTTTATTTCACTTTAAATGCTTATTTGATATGTATGCCATGTTTCTATACAGCTTAAAAAACCCTATAATTATAAGAAGTTTTGTTTTTTTATATTACCTTCTATTCCTTCTCTCTACTTACTGATATGGGACTCAATTCCACAAGGAATATATCCCCATGGAGAGCAACTTCACATTTTTGTTCATAATAGCACAAGGCTACTGTCACCTTCTTTACCTTGAAGTCTGGAGTCACATATAAATGATCACATTTAGCTTAAGGCTAGGAAGAAACCATTCATGGCACCTAAACAATTACACAGTTGGTGAAATGTACTCTTTCCTGAATAAACCTCAGCAGGTTGAAAGCATTTGAAAAATTACTTTTTGTTATTTTATGCACTTGAGGACTAAACCTAGGGTGAGGACAGGTTTGCGTTTAAGAGCTGGATTCTAATTAATTGGCAGTGTTGTTCAGAGAGAGGTAGAAAACGTTTGAGCCTCATCAGACTTCAGCGTGAATTACTTAATGATGACTATTATTTTCCAAGAAGGAAATGCCTGTTCTTTAATTTTAATCTTAAAATTCAAATACTGAAATAAATTTAGGGAGCTTTAAAATTCAGGTGCAACATAGGAATCAGATAACTCATCAGTTTCCACTTACAAGGTTTAACCTAACTGGGACGTAGGAATTCAGACACAGATGAACCCTATTCATATTTAATTGCTAATTGGATTTTCAGATGTACTCTAAAAAGGGGACTAAAACCAATTAGATTGGCAGCATTACTTCACTCAGCACAGATTTATGGATGATCTACTATGTACTAGGCACTGTTCTTGCCACTGGGAATATAGAGATGGACAAGACACACAGGTCCCTGCTCTTATGGAGCTTTTGCTCACGTGGCAGGAGAAAGAAAATTTAAAAAAAAATCATAATTACAAACACAAAGCACAAAAACACCAGATAGAGCAATAAGAAAAAGGGCGTGAGAGAAGCTGTTTTGGTCTGGGTGGTCAGGAAAAGCCTCCTGAGCAGGTGACCACTAAGCTGGGCTCTGAATGGCAAGAAGGCAAGAAGGGGGCCACTCTTTTTTTTTTTTTTAATTTTATTTAAATCCAAGTTAGATAACATATAGTGTAATAATGGTTTCAAGAGTAGTATTGAATGATTCATCACTTACATATTACAGCCAATGCGCATCCCAATAAGTGCCCTCCTTAGTACCCATCACCCATTTAGCCCATCTCCCACCCAACACCCAAGAAGGAGCTACTCTTAAGATAATTAGGCCAGGAACATTCCAGACAGAGGAAAGAGTGAGAGTAAAAGGCCTCAGGTGGCAGGATGGGTAAGGGCAAAAGTGGTTGGAGAGGTGAGCTGGGCCAGATCATATAGGAGTTCATAGACTTTGGTATGGAAGTCTGGATCTTGATTCAATGTACATTTTGAAAGCTTTTTATTTTGTAATAATTTTAGGCTTATAGAAAAAAACTGTAAATAGAATACAGAGTTGCTGTATCCCCTTTTCAGCTTCCCCTAACATTAGTATCTTATGTAACCATGGTACAATGATCAAAACTAGGAAATTAACATTGGTAGAGTACTATCAACTAAACCACAAACTTATTTGAATTTTACTAGTTTTCCCACTAATGTCTTTTTTCTTCCAGGATCTAATCCAGAATCTGACCTTGCACTAAGTTATCATGATTCCTTGGTCTCCTTCAACCTGTGACAGTTCCTCTGCCTTTCTTGTCTTTCATGACCTCATGCCTTTTAAGAGTACTGGTTAGGTATTTTGTAGTATGTCTCTCAGTGTGGATTTGTCTTACTTCTCACAATTAGACTGGGGTTACAGATTTTGGGGAAGGAAACCATAGAGGTGGAGTGGCCTTCTTAGTGCATGATATTAGGGCCAAATGACTAACATACACTGTCACTACTGATATTAATCTGGACCATTTGATTCAGGTGGTGTCTACTGGGTCTCTCCACTGTAAAATTATGATTTCTTTCTTTTGTAATTATTAAAAATCATGGAGGGAAATACATGACACTGTGAAAATACTCAGTTTCTCCTCAAACTTTCACCCATTAATTGTGCCACCTTTCAGTGAATCTTGCCTGCCACAATTCTTACTGTGGTATTTACCTATTGGTGATTTTGTGGTTCCCTCATTCCTTCTGTATTTATTAACTGAAATCATTTTATAAGAGCTGTTTCTTCTCCCCTGTTTGTCTATTTCCACACTGACTTAATGAATATTTACTTTACTTTATTGGTTATAATCCGGAACTACTCCTATTTACTTTGTTACTCAAATTGTCCCAGCTTAGACCATTGGGAGCTCTTTGTGGTGTAAACAATGGGCTGGAAGGGGCTAGGAGATCAGTTAAGAAGGGGATACAGCAAATCAAGCAGGACAGTGGATTCATGATGGTGGCATGAACTAAGATAGTGGCAGTAAAGATGGAGAGAGGAAGGAGACTCTGAATGCTATTCAGGCAACAAAATGGATGAGCATTTAAGACTAATTGGATGTGGGACAGAGAAATGGGCGGGGGGGGTATGTCCTGTGTCTTGATTTACTCAGAACTCAAGACTATGGAGATATAGCCGAGGAGAAGTCTTAACTTAGTAAACAGTAACATAGAAAATTTATCAAATTCTGCCTCTAAGTCGTAGGATTTTGTACTTTCCCACAATAGTCTTAATTAAAAACTAATGAAGGAAAATCATCAATTGTTACTTTGTGATTGCTGGAAAGAGGTCTAGCAGCAGTCAGAAACAGAAAAACTTCCCATGTTCTAGTCTCAGAAATCCAGAAATTATACTATTAAATCACCTATGAGTGGACATTTGAAAACATATTAATGTTTTTCATACAACTTGATATTTAGCATTTCAGAGATAATCTGTGGGTAATAACTTTAAGGCAGAATCCTGTTTCCAAATAACTCAATCTCTAACATAAAAAATCCTCATGAAGAAGCTCTGTTGTCAAAATATGGTCAAGGAATTACCTATATGTACTTTCTCTCTCCATTTTAAGAGGAACAAACCTGGATATAAGAGAGCTAGGGCAATCAAATAAAAACAACCCTATTGTTTTTTAAAACTCACGCAAGAAACTGAGGAAACTTTTTTTATAATTAGGAAGATAAATGGCATGTACTTATCCATGGGAGACCCAATATAAAGTTCTTATTATAGTTATTTGCACTGAATGATAAACAACCTATGTAAAGGGTTTCTGACAAAATTATTAGAGACCCTCCTTCCCACCAATTAAAGACCAAAGACAGACACTCCTCAATAGTAATTTACTTGTCTCACTTCCTAAACATATGAAATGATATATTAAGGCAAAATATCCTATTTTTCATTGTTTATCTCATCAATATGTATACTTAGGGCATACTTACAACATATTCTCTTTTGATAGAGTACAATTGCTTTAGACAAGTCCAAACAGGTTCTCTGAATTGAATGAAACAGCTATAATAAAAATACAAAATATTAAATAAAACAGATAGTAGTGAAATAAAAATTATTATATTGAACATAACTATAGTGTTTGATTTGCCCACTAAAAATAAAACTGCAAGCCAAAGTATGCTTGGTGTTACATGGTATACTGTGCAGGAACTATGACCAGAGTCTTTAAATATGCTCATATTATTCTGTATTTATTGGAGTTCATCATCTCTGTGATCTGAATTAAGATCTCCAGAACAATAATTTCCTCCAGACTACTGAAATAATAGCTGAAAAACAGAAATCCTAAATGAAGGCCCCAATTAGAAGACCTGGTAAACCAGAGACCCAATATTCATTCATAATTGAATTTATTTCCTATCTCACTTGATGTCTTTTTTTAAATATGGATCCCTCAATTAAGCATCATATTTAAAACACAACATTGCCTTATTTTGTGATCCTAATGCATTCTATGGCATGCTTAAACAACTCTATAAAAAGCCAACAAAAATCAACCAGCTGAATATTTAATATAGAAGACATCTGGTAAAATGGAGTTTAGCTAGTAGCCCTTATCACTCATTTTCCCAATAATTTCATAAGATATACCGATAAGAAACCTAATGTAATGCCAAGGCCATATCAGAGGAAATTAAGGGAAAAGCAGGTGGGTGATACTGAGAAGAATGTAACTAGATTTTAACTAATGGTGGTCCTGGTCTTTGGTTCAGAAATACAGACAAGCTCAAGAGAAGATCAAACAGCTACTTCACACTGTCTCTACCCTCTGTCCACCAACTCAAAGCCAGGGCTGGTCTCATTTGGAAAACGTGGCAAATATTCTGCCTTCTGATGAGCCACCTAATGAGGCCGAGCAAAACTTTCCCTTTTTCTCTTTTAGCTTATTGGCCATGATGATGTAATAGTTATGTCTTGGTATTATGAAGCACTTCACTATTTGAGTTAAAGCAGAGAATCTGTGTCATAATAAACATGACCAATTATCTAATAAAAATAGATGTATGTATATATACTTAAAAGATTAAAAAACCATTCCCGAAATGCTTTACATGATAAAACCTGGTCATGAAGAACATAAATTTTGCTAAATCTTATTTCATTACACTGTATCCTCTACTTAGGGGAGAGAGAAAGAGAGAGAGAGAAACAACTCTTTACCATAAAACAAAACAGAGAATCAGCAGTCTGAATCTCTTCCTTAACAAATGCTTGATATCAGGATTCTGGGTCACAAACCACCAACACATAGTAATTCCTGAATACAGGAGGAAGAAGTTCAAAAAGTATGTTCAGGAGCTGTTCTAATGTCACTGTTCATTTTTTTAAATTGAGGTATAAATTAGATGCAATTGGGGTGCCTGGATGGCTTAGTCAATTGAGTGCGTGACTCTTGACTTTGGCTCAGGTCATGATCTCATGGTCCATGAAATGGAGCCCCACATCAAGCTCTGCACTGACAGCATGGAGCCTGCTTGGGGTTCTCTTTCTCCCTGTCTCTCTGCCTCTCCTCCAGTCATGCTCTCGCTTGCTTCTCCCAAAATAAATAAATAAACTTGAAAAAAATAAATGCAATAAAATGCACACCTCTGGAATGTTCAGTTCTGCAGGTCTACAACTGCCTACACTCTTCTCACCACATCCAAACTAAGAAACCAAAGACCATTTCTATGCTGCGCCAGTCACTAAAAGACTTGCCATCACAGCTTACTTCTGTCTGTTCTTAAGAGGTGTTTTTGAGAAAATGATTTTATTAACAACCAATTTTGACACATATGTAAACTTAGTGCAACATTTCTATATTAACTCCCCCATAGATTATAGTATTATCTATCCGTTATTATAACTTGGCAATAAACTTTTCTTGTGCCGGCAGAACAAATAGTTTGTTTCATACTAGCGTTTTGTGGATAGCTTAGGATAAGAACACATCAAAATGGTTTGCACATCATTTATGTATGTTTTATTATAGAATCCATGCTCTCTACAAATATCAACACTAGTTTAAACATATTTGTGACAAACACCTCTGCGTGTAACATTATTAGCCTCAGCTAAGTACTGTGGATGTTATGTGCCTAGGACAGCAGCTAATTTGATTAAAGTACAGTTGTTTCAGTAAAAATGCTGCAAGAGGCTAATAAGCGTAAATATAAAATCACCATATTTTGTTTAATCGACTAATAATTACATGTTGAATTCCTTTTTGAATAATACTTATATCTACTATGTTGTTAAAAAGAAAAAAACAAAGGTACAAGATGTGAAAAGCATATGCAAGTTATAGTCATTTAAACTGTATGCAGAACACTAAAATCAGAACACGTGCCTCCTGGCTCCACTTTTCTCCACTGTAGCAAACTCCATTAGAACATCCCCATCAAACCCAGCTTCAATTTGAACACTGTCAGGGGAAGGCCTGGGAACTAGTATTTATTGCATTAACATGCACACTGATTCAGTTAGTATTTACTGAATGTGTACAGTGTGTCTGGCTGAGGATACTAAGGTGAATGAGGCTGACACAAAACATGATCTCTTAGTGGAAGTGAGGCAGACAAATACATCATTTAGGATAATTTCATGAAAGATACATACTATGAACAGGGGCCCTAGGTCTGTTTCTCTCCTCAGGTGCATAAAATGAATTATCCTTCTCCCACATGACAGACCTTCCTATACAATCAAGAACTAATATAGGTCTCCTTAAACCTCTCTGTTCCAGTATAACCTTTTTTGAAATCCTGAGCTTTTTACTTTAGTCCCATTAAATGTTCAGTTCATGAACTTTAGCTTATACATTTGTTTGTTTGTTTTGAGTGAGTGAGAGAGAGAGAGAGCATGAGTGGGGGAGAGGGGCAAAGGAAAAGGCGGAGAGAGAGAATTTCAAGCAGAGCTTAAGCTCCTGCTGAGTATGGTGCCCAAAGTGGGGCTCAATCCCATGACCCTGGGATCATGACCCGAGTAGAAATCAAGAGTTGGATGCTCAAAGAATTGTGACACCCAGGCACCCCTAGCTTATATGTTAAATTTAGAGATAATTTTGAATTCTTATCAGGTCATGTAACATTCCTCACAGAAGTGATTAGCATGCTTTTTAAATTTTAATCTAAACTATTGGCAGAATATCCAGCAAGACAGGGAATTAGTGGGTCTTCTACTAGTTATATTAGTATTTGGGAATCAACCAGATAGGAAATCAGCTTACTGTATTATTAACTAGTCTAACTAAATATCTGCTTAGTTAATTCATTCTAGAATTTTATTAGACTCTACTTTCAGGATCTTGTGTTATCATCTTTTTCTGTTTTTTAGAATGTAAGCATTTGCCTGACCCTAGTGTAATATCACATGCATGTGCAGTGGGTCTCTGATTCCATTAGCTTTTTTCAACAAGCATTTATTGAGAATTTACCACTTGCCATGCAATCCAGCCATGTGCTTGAAAAACTAATTAACTGAAACATACTGGTGGTTACACAAGAATTGGAAGGTTTTTAAAACATATACTGGGATTGGGGTGCCTGGGTGGATCAGCTGGTTGAGCATCTGATTCTTGATTTCAGCTCAGGTCACGGTCCCAGGGTCGTGGGATGGAGCCCTGCGTTGGGCTCTGTGCTGAGCATGGAGCCTACTTAAGATTCTTTCTCCTTCTCTCTCCACCTGCCCCCACCCCTCCTTTCCCTTGTGCACGCTCGCTCTCTCTCACTAATAAAGAACATATAAGTATATATTCTAGGATTGAATTTACCTCCTCCTAGATTTTCCTCACGAACTAGTTTGCAATATATTTTCAAATACAAAGCTCACCTTGCTCACCCAGGTCAGCACACTCTAGGACTGGGCCCTAGCAAGGGGGCTGAACTAGGGCTGAGAGCAGTAACAACTCACCTCTAACTTGGCATCCAGGTCTGCATCAGAGGCAACAACATGCTCATCTTCCTTCTTCCCTGTGGCTTTAATAAAGGCTTGCTTCGTTTCCCAATATTTCTGCTGCATCTTATTTACTACAGACTTATCTTGAGTATATCGATCCTGTAAGTCCCAGGGATAACTGCTAGAAATACATTTAAAGAGGAATCTTATTCATGACTTTCATAAATATTAAGCTATTTCAATGTGAACAAACCTATCTCACAATTATGTCATACAACATTAATAAATATATACTTTCTTATGTGGTTATTACACCAAAAATGTTAACCAACTCTTACTCTGAAACCTTAAAAGTCAATAAGGAAATGAAGTGGCTTTTGCAGGAAATTAAGAAGCTAAACCTTGAAGAGTTAAGCTACCAGCAGGTTGGGACACACTCCTTTTCCAAGTGGAGAAAGTAAGGCCAAACCAAACAGCGTGTCGGTTCAAGCAGCCCAGCCAGTTACAGAGGTAAGGCCGGACACCAGTGTTCTCTCCACTCCAGCATTAGAGTCGACGATGAAGTGATGGAAGAAAAGTAGAGATAAGGTGCTGAAAAATAGCAAATTTAAAATGTGTCCTCGAGGTACCTAAAACTGTCAAACTCATAGAATCAGAGAGTAGAATAGTGGTTACCAGAGGCTGGATGGGGTGAGAGGGAAATTGGAAACTGTTACTGAAGGGGTATAAGGTTTCAATTATGCAAGATGAGTAAATTCTAGATATCTACTGTACAACACTGTACCTATACTTAACTGTAGTGTATACTTAAAGTTGTTAAAAGGGCAAATCTCATGTTAAGTCTACTGTCTTGCCACAGTCAAATGAAATTCAGAAAAATAAAAAACAATTTAAAAAATATTTACTAATTTCTGCTATTAAAAATTTTAATTTTTCAAAATGTTTACTTATCTTTGAGACAGAGTGAGAGAGGAACAAGGAAGGGGCATAGAGAGAGACATGCACACAGAATATGAAGCAGGCTCCAGGCTCTGAGCTGTCAGCACAGAGCCCGACGCGGGGCTCCAACTCACAAGCCGTGAGATCATGACCTGAGCCAAAGTCAGATGCTTAACCGACTGAGCCACCCAGGCGGCCCTAATATGAAAATTTTAAATTCTTAAACATAAATGTTTAAAATACATATAGGAAGAAACCATTCTTTCAGGAAGGACACAGTATATGTAAAAAAGAAATCAGAAAAAGAACAGATGAAATCAAATTCTGTAAAAGACAAGAGCACCTCAAATATCGACAAAAATGTCGCCATAGTGCTTCATCCCTCCCCATGTTGTCTACACCCCCCTCCTGCCTAGAGTTCCTACTGCATAGGTGCACACAGGACCCCTTGTTTCTCCTCTCTGCAGACATGTGCCTGTTTCCACTACACACTATCACTTCTCAAAATGTGGCAGACTTGAGTCCTAAAACATAAGTTGCTTTACATGATTATAAAATATACCTATACCTTAAAACTTGGTGATTTATACTCTCCTTCCAGAGGGCATTTACAATTATCAACACATACATTTATTCTTAAAAAGTCAAAAGGGATTTCAGACAACTTCTTTACAATGGTTATCATTACAGGAGTAGGATTTGATGGACTTTAATGCTTTCTGCATTATTTAAAAGTTTCTTTTTATGTGTATAGACTGGTCGAACCACTACACCTGTAGTGTACACCTGAAACTAATTAACATTGTGTGTCAACTAAACTTCAATTAAACATTATTTTACTATGAGGTCACATCAGAGAAAATAAGTGGAAGAATATATAACTTTTATGTAAAAGAGAAAATCTGTCTATGTAATATGTGCTTTAGAAGATTAAAAGAGGGCACCTGGGTGGCTCTGTCAGTTAAGCATCTGACTTCAGCTCAGGTCATGATCTCACGGTCTATGAGTTCAAGCCCTATATCGGCCTCTGTGCTGACAGCTTGGAGCCTAAAGCCTGCTTCAGATTCAGTGTCTTCCTCTCTCTCTGCCCTTCCCCAGCTCTCTCTCTCTCAAAATTAAATAAACATATAAAAAAAATTAAAAGACTAGAAGGATATATCCTCCAAAACTATTTTGGGGAAACAGAATTTTTAGAAGTGAGGAATAGAGTGGACTTCTTTGTATTGTATCTTTTACTTACTACTTATTTATTTATTTACTGTGAAGGTCATGGATTAACAGGAAAAAAATTCCATTTTGAAAAAAAGACAAAACCAAAGGGACTTCAGAAATTGAATGAACACCCCTCACCTCTGTGATTTAACAAATGAGGTATCTTAGGTATCAAATGCTTAAGAAATCTGCTCAAAGTCACACAGGATTAAAATCCAGGCCAGGGCTCATTTCAGTGTTTTCTGCAGCTGCTGCATTTCAGCAGCAAACAGTGAAGTGGCAGAGTAAGTGGGAGAAAGAATTTAGGGAAGTGCCCACTTCTTAGGCACTCTCCTGTCTCTCTTGGGTGCATGACTACCTACTTCTGGGAGTCTGCTGCCAGGATATGACAGTCGGTATGAGGGTCACAGGATGGAGCCTCCCCTTTGTCTTAATGAGGCAAGATGGAACAATTAGGAAAACAGTCTGACAACTCTTGGTTACAGAGCCATCAAATGGGGTACTCAGAGAAACTAGATCCCTTAGCCATTTATTATCTGTTAAAACTCGTTACATCTTAAGACATACAAAAATTCTTTTAAAGTTTGACATTTGAGACTAAAGAAGCCTTGGGCCTGATTACTTCTTTACTGAGACAGGAAGGATTACAAACGATATCCTTAAAAAAATAATAAAAAAATTTAAAGTATATTATAATTAGTTGTACATTTGAAACATGAAAATACACATCATCACAGTTTTTCATGCTACAAATTCAAGAAGATAAAACATGACAAAGATCTACCTGCCTGGCGGGTCATGGGTTCAAAAGGTTCAGAAACACTGCTTGTAGCATGTCTGGAATTTATAAGAAGTTTAATATGCTGCTGAGAGGTGTTACAGGCATGTAAATGACAGTGCTCCCGTTGCCATGACTGCCACATTTTACTCAGAATCATTGTCTTCTAATCATAATCACCTCCTAAGTGTTCATGAAGGTTGAAGTCATAACTATAAATTAATGAGTCTGGGTTTGTGTCCATTCATTATTTTATAGCTGCCCTACATCAAGTTTCCTGATAACACTAATAAGCTACAAATAAAATAGTGCTAAAAAATGTATCAACTTATTACATTTGAAAAACTGGTAGTAAGAAAAGTCATTAGATTCTCAAAAGAAAAGTTATATGTAGACTAATTCCTTAAGAGAATATACATTACATAAGAACTTATAATATTTCTAGTTATTCGGTTTCCATATTTCATTTAGAAAAGACATTGAACTTGACTATACTCCATTTTGGATAAGGGCTAACAGATTATTTACTGCTAATGTGACTCTTGATTTTTCTTTATCTTTTTCTTTTTTTTAAATATTTTTATTTATTTCTAGGAGAGAGAGAGAGAGAGACAGCGTGAGCAGGGGAGGGTCAGAGAGAGAGGGAGACACAGACTCTGAAACAGGCTCCAGGCTCTGAGCTGGCAGTCAACACAGAGCCCGACGCAGGGCTCAAACCCACGAACCGCGAGATCATGACCCAAGCGAAGTCGGACACTTAACCGACTAAGCCACCCAGGCGCCCCTAGAAATCTGCATTTTCAAAAGCCCTATCCCTTCCCACCAGGTAATTCTNTATTTATTTTGGTTTTTGTTTTTTGAGAGACAGCAAGCAGAGGAGAAGGGCAGAGAATCTTTTTTTAAAATTTTTTTTAATGTTTTATTTATTTCTGAGAGACAGAGTGAGCAGGGGACGGTCAGAGAGAGAGGGAGATACAGAATCTGAAGCAGGCTCCAGGCTCTGAGCTAGTTGTCAGCACAGAGCCCAAAGCGGGGCTCAAACCCCCGAACCGTGAGACCATGACCTGAGCCTAAGTCGGACACTTAGCCACCCAGGCGTCCTAGAGAGAATCTTAAGCAGGTTCCATGCTCACTGTGGAGCATGATATGGGACTTGATCCCACAACCCTGGAATCATGACCTGAGCCAAAACCAAGAGTCAGATTCTCAACCAACTGAACCACCCAGGTGCCACTGACTTTTGATTTTTCTATCCAACAGACATTTACTGAACATATACAATGTGCTTTCCTCTTTCATTAGTCTCTCCCACTCTCCCAATTTAGAAAAGATGACAAATTACTTACCATTTGTGTCCTGACATGTTTTCTTCTTCTTCTTTTTCTACTATTGATGATTTGGGGAGAAGGGGCAGGGAAAAAGGATGAGAGGATAAGTTATAATATAACCTGAAATAAAACAAATATGTTTAACAATTAACACTATAATTATGTGTTAATCTGATACACATAAAATTTTCCAATCCTAAACTACTTCTAATTGTATTTTAGGGGCCAGACACTATTACTTAGTAACAGTGTACACCGGTGCTGAGAATAGTTTAACACTGGAAGAAATATCCCAAACGAAGTATAAGAAGCAAAAAGGCAGACTGCATGAGAAAAGCAGGTTGCAAAAGACTATATAAAATATGAGACCACAAAATACAAAATAATTGAAGTATACAAATATACTAACGGTATAAAAAATGCCTCCAAATGATAAACTCTGAATTCCACATGGCAGTTAGTACTGCAGAAATGGTGGGGGTTATTATTTAAGAGGAGTACACAGGGGCTCAACTGTGCTCATAGTGTTCTCTTTGTTAAGCCTGGTGGTGAATAGATTGCATCTACTATGTCTCTTTACAGATTAGAAATATTTCATAAATGTGCTCACTTTGGCAGCATATACACCAAAATTAGAACCATAAAGATAAGATTAGCATGAGAAATCCTAAACCAGGAAACCCCACCCACCCAACAATCTACTCAAGGGAAATGGAAGGCAGGAAATACAAAGGATCATATTCTAACTGTAGAGTTGGTGGGGAGAGCTATGAGGGTCTATCCTTGCTGGTGCTTCTTAATTTGTTCTGGATCACAGGAAGGAAGAAAAGTAGGTCCTTGGTGCTTAAGTCTCAATCTTGTGGTTGGCCTTTGGCCATGCTTCTGCCTGACTCTGTCTCCTCCCAGGGACTGACCCTTAGCCCGAGTTGCCCTTGATATGTGGGCTCTGGCATAAGGTCCTGAACTTGCCAGGGTTCCCCATCCCCTGGGAGAGGAAGAAAATTGTGGAATTAACCACAACCTCTCCAGTATATCAGGGTATTTGCCTAGCCATAGAGAAACAGCTGTCAATTTTTAATTTTCATTTGAAATAAACTCCTTAGGTAGCCATAAAGGAAAACAAAATATTTCATAATCAATATTTCTAAAAAAATGAGCCAACACATTGAAAACAAAACAACACACACACAAACCCACAAAAGGCTAAAATGAGATACCAAGAAGGGTAGAAAGGAGGAAAATGTGACTATTTTAGTTTTTACTGTCCTAATATTGTGTTTTTATCTCATTAGTAAATATGGAAGAAACTGTCTTTATGTCTTTGTCCCTCACTTTCTTGGCCCCACTCAGGAAAACAGCCAACCTCAAGGGCAGAGCAAACCAACCCATCCACATTTGCCTACCAGTTTCTGGAAAGACTGGAGAGCTTATAACCTAAAGGAATGGCCTCTGGCCAGACACACAATGCTGGCTGCCAGAGTGAATGCTCAGCATAGGAATGCTTCTGGCTACTCCACAAAATCAACCCATCTGTGCTCCCTCTGCACCAGAAAAGGTGGGAGAGCCCCTCAACGATTAACTTTTTTTAATGTTTTAACAGACTTAAATGAAAGTGTTAAAATTCCAGGCTTCAATGTGGGGACAGGAGAGAGGAAGGAAGACATTTTGCTAGTGTGTCCAGATGCCTCTGAAATGACAGCATCCAGTAATCAGCATGTCTCTTCCTCCTGGAGGGCATCCAAGTTTTTGGACAAGATTCTTTGGGAATGACATTCATGATGAGTAAGCCTTGTCCTCTACTTAGTAAATCATGAAAAGGCCACTCACTTCTAAACACCCACACAACTTCACTGTAAATACACATTTACTTTATTTAGCTTAAAGATTCCAACAAAATTTCTCATGAAAAGATACTATTCAAGGAAACAAAATTATTATAGTCCTTCCTTGAGTCCAATTTCACCATGAACTACAAAGACAGTTGATACTTTTTCTTTTTTAATTAAAATGTGATTATTTTTAATTGTGGTAAAAATATAAATTTATCCTCTTAACAATGTTTAAATGTGCACTACAGTATTAACTACATGCACACTGTTATACAACAGATCTCTAGAACTTTTTCATCTTGCATGGCTGAAACTCTATACCCTTTGAACGATTCCTCATTTCCTCCACTCCCCCCCGCCCCATCCACTGGCAACCACCATTCTTCCTGTTTCTATGAGTCTGATTATCTTAGATACTTCATATAAGTGAAAGCATGCAGTATGTTATTTTTGTGATTGGTTTATTTTACTTAGCGTAAGGTTGTCAAGGTTCATCCATGTTGCAACCTATGACAGGTTTTCCTTCCTTTTAAAGGTGGACTAATATTCCACTGTATGTGTAAAGCTTATTTCTTTATCCATCCATTCACTGATGGACATTTAGTTTGCTTCCAAATTTTGGCTATGAATAATATTACAATAAACAAGGGTGTCCAAATATCCATGTTTTTAAATATATACGTGTCCAGAAGTGGGATCGACAGATCTTAGAGTAGTTCTTTTTTGTTTTTAATGTTTTATTTTTGACAGAGAGCATTCACACACGTGCACAAGAGAGGGGGAGGGGCAGAGAAAAGGGGACAGAGGCTCTGAAACAGGCTCTGTGCTGAGAGCAGAGAGCTTGATGCAGGGCTCGAACTCAAAAACTATGAGATCATGACCTGAGCTGAAGCTGGACACTTAACTGACTGAGCCACCCAGGCACACCTCATATTGTAGTTCCATTTTTTTTTATTTTGAGGAACTTCCATACTGTTTTTCCACAGTGACTGCACCATTGTAAAATCCTACCAACAGTGCTCTAAGGTTTTCAGTTTCTCAACATCCTCCAACACCTGCTGATTACCTTTTCTTTTTTTCTTTCTTTTGATAGGAGCCACCCTAATGGATGTGAGGTGATATCTCACTGTGATTTTGATTTGCATTTCCCTGATCACTAGTGATGTTGAGCCTCTTTTCACATGCTTATTATCTATTTGCATATCTTCTTTAGAGAAATGTCTATTCATTTCTAGTCCTTTGCCTATTTTTCAACTGGGCAATTTTGTTATTGCATTGTAGGACTCCTTTATCTAATCTCCATATTAACCCTTTATCTACAGTTTGCAAATACTTTCTCCTATCTGGTAGGCTGCCTTTTCACTATTGTTTCCTTTGCTACAACTTTTTGATTTTTGATTACTGAAGTATTTAACAATATAATATCTCTGTCATGTAATAATAGAAAATAAAAATCACTGAGCAAATGGGACGCCTGGCTGGCTCAGCCGGTGGAGTGCGCAACTTTTGATCTCTGGTTGTAACTTTGAACCCTATGTTGGATGTAGAGATTACTTAAAAATAAAAGCCTTAAATAAAAAAAACCACTGAGCACACTGCCGTTTCTCCCTGGACTTTTAAGCTATTTATGGATTATGATGCCAGTGTTCCTTAAGGTACCGTTTATAGGCCACTTACACTTGAATCAACTGGGTGTTGCCAGGCAGATTCCTGGGCCTCATTCTTTTACCTAATGATGCAAAATCTCTGTGCAGTCTGGGAATCTGCATTTTAACAGGCTTTGTAAGTGGTTTTGAGGCACATTAAGTGTGAATACCATAGCTAAATGGCAAACAGGAAAAATCCAGATTTCTGGAAATGTATCTTAGCCTGCTGGATTACAATATGGTAAAACAGAAAAGAAATCATGGGTGGCAAAAAAGGTCAACTCTATAGGGCATATCTAAATGTCTCACGAGAAGGCAGCTGTAGTCAGGACTCACATCTCCAGTCCCATACACCAGGCACAACACACATTTTAAAATTTCCTCACAAAATTCATCTCATCTTGTTCTACCACTTTCTAAATTCACACTGTCAAAATCATTACTTTAAAAAACTCATTATAATTCTCATCCATTCTTTCATTTCAGTCAACAGTCTGGTTTATCAAACATGCACTGCACATCTAATTATATGCACCAGGCACTGTCCTAGCCTCAAGGAACTTACAGTCTAGATCAGCTCTGTCCAGTAGCATACACTATAAGCTACACTAAATGACTGAATAGCCGTGTAAAAAGTAAAAAGAAATAGGGGTGTCTGTGTGGTTCAGTGGGTTAAGTGTCCAACTTTGGCTCAGGTCATGATCTTACAGTCTGTGAGTTCAAGCCCTGTGTCAGGCTCTGTGCTGACAGCTCAGAGCCTGGAGCCTACTTCTGATTCTGTTTCCCTCTCTCTGCCCCTCCCCTGCTCATACTCTGTCTCTCAAAAATAAATAAACTTTAAAAATAAAAAGTAAAAAGAAATAGTAAAAAATTTTTAAATAATAGATTTTATTCAACTCAATATATCTAAAATATTATTTCAACATATAATCAAAAAGAAAATTACTGCTATATTTTGCATTCATGTTTTTGTACCATCTGAAATCTGGTGTGTATTTTATACTTACAGTACATTTCATTTGAGACTTGCCACATTAAGTGCTCAATGGCCACATGTGGTTAGTGGCTACAGTACTGGACAATGCAGGTTGAGCCATTAAGATAGACATATAAACAAAATTTCCAGATCCAGAAGGCTCTTGAAATTTGCAAGGGACATATAAAAAGATCTTTGTGAACCCCCAAAATCATAAACTCTGCTGTTAAAAAATCATTTCTGCTATTAAATACTATAAAGTCTATAATTAGCTAATACTACAATTCATGATTCTGCAAAGGAGGCTATTATCTCCACTTCTACCATGAGACATGTATGAAAGAAGCCTAAAATGAATAGTAGTATCATGTCTCAAGCATTTCAATGGCACAGAGAATGGGGCACCTGGGTGGCTCAGTCGGTTGCGAGTCTGACTTCAGTTCAGGTCATGATCTCGTGGTTCAGTTTGTGACTTCAAGTCCTACATCGAGCTCTGTGCTGTCAGCTCAGAGCCTGGAGCCTGCTTCGGATTCTGAGTCTCCCTCTCTCTCTGCCCACCCCCTACTCACCTTCTCTCTGTCTTTCAAAAATAAACATTAAGAAAAATATTTTTCAAAATGATTGGCACAGAGAAGACTTCTAAAGTTCTGCCTGTGGCCACACTGCTTTGGGAGATAAGAAAAGCAAGCATCAGGTTGCTCATTATGGACTTGCCATGACATGAGTGCCATGACAAGAAAAAGAAAAGCACAGACACTGTTTTTGTTTTTGTTTTTTTTTGCACAGACACTATTAAATTCAGCAGGATGTGACCACATGAATGTTTGTGTTTAGCTAAACTCCATCTCCAAGGAAGACAAAGCAGAGAAGCCAATAAGAATTAAGACTTTCTCAAAGAAGTAGGGACCCAAGAGTTAATAGATCAATAAAACGCACGTTCCTGGAGCACCTGGCTTGCTAAGTGGGTAGAGCATGTGACTCTTGATCTTGAAGTCATGGGTTCAAGCCCCTCACTGGGCGTAAAAAGGGAAGTTCCTAACTTCAGTGTAACAACCTTGATGGTGTGGGGATGGGTTAGTGAGGCACAGCCTCTTTGTACTAATGGGGAAAGATGTCTGCTCAGAGGCGGAACGGCTGCTGAGGCCAGGTTTTTCTCAGGTGACACAAAGCCTACCAACCTAATCCTCCTAGACTTTCTCAGGGTGCACCTTTTAGTAGTTTACCTCACACCAGGAAGTAAGACCACAGATGTTCTCAGCCACACCCATGTGGCTGAGAGGCTATTCTGCCTTGTGGGGCGAACTGAGGGAACAGGAGTGAGGGATACCTCACTGAGTGTTTGCACCAGGGCTCCGGGCAATAATTATGCTTGTTTTTTCTCTATGCTTTTCTTACATGCTTGCTGTGCTGTGTCTATAATTTTACTCACCCATGTGTACAGGCTACAAATTGTGTTTTATTTCCTACAGCCATTGAAAACCCATTTGGAACACACTGGATGGCCAATACATAAGCCAAAGTTTTTTCCAAATACTCTACAGTTCTCAGAATGCTAGAGCAAGCTTGGGTTAAACAAAGTTCAATGCATTGTTGCAAAGAGGAGTTGGTTTGTCCTCAGATGCCTTAAACCCTTATACTAGAGTCTCCTCCTTGGAAATATAACATGGGGAAGTATTTTCATTCCACATAGGCTGGCTTCAGCTGCAGTGAACATTTGTTCTGGCCCAGAACGCTTTTCTAGGAGCTTATGGAGTTAGCTGATGGCACCTCTAATTACATCTGAATTATGCAAAGAATTTAAAAATTATGCAAAGAATTCACAGAGTAAAGGTAAAGTAGTAGTTACATTTCCCTGTATCAGTACTCTGAATCTGGAAAAATATTTCAATAAACTTCCTCTTGAATCACATTTTCTAAGTGTGTTGTATATCCTGTGCAGTTTTATGTCTCAAATTACCTTTCCAACTTTAGCAGATTTTTCTCTTCCATCAGTGAGCAGTTTTTCTTTTAGATGGAGCACTAGTTGAAACTGAGTCCAGAATCCTTTTTCCCTGTATCTGTACTGAACATGTGGTGGATTCTCTTGAATTGTAGATCTGAGCTATTGCCAAATTTGTCATTTTCCCAACTTAGTCAAAATTCCCATTTTTCAACTAAAATTTGTCACTATCTGAGAGCTCCTCAGTACTGCTGTGCACACCAGCACTTAGCTTTCTTTGGGAAGTGGGCCATTTCCCCCCCATAAGAAACATATTTTTCAAGTGATATGGGTGCAAAGTGGTACATTTGCATCCCAGAGTAAAATCACACATTCCCAAACACCAGCTTCATGGCACCACACATCACTGAACAAGTGCAAATCTGTTCACATCCCAACATTCCTGAAGCTAGAAGGTGTCCTACAATTGATGCCTTGTCAGTGGTCTGCCACTTTTTTTTTATCACAGAACATAAAATGGTAAAAGGTCTCATGAGCAATGCTCTTATATTTGATGAAATAAAGAATAATTATCTAAAATTAAACCTCAGTTTGGGGCACCTGGGTGGCTCAGTTGGTAAGTGTCTGACTTTGGGTGAGGTCATCATCTCCTGGTTTGTGAGTTAGAGTCCCACGTTGGGCTCTCTGCTGAGAGCCTAGAGTGTGTTTCGGATTCTGTGTCTCCCTCTCTTTCTGCCCCACCCCCCATTCATGCTCATGTGCCCTCACACTCTCTCTTTCTCTCTCCCTCAAAAATAAATAAACATTAAAATTAAACCTCAGTAGGGGTGTCTGGGTGGCTCAGTCAGTTGAGTCTGACTTTGGCTCAGGTCAAGATCTCACAGTTCACGAGTTGGAGCCCCACATCGGGCTCTGTGTTGACAGCTCCTGTAGCCTGCTTCAGATTCTGTGTCTCCCTCTCTGCCCCTCCCCCATGTACGTTTTTTTCTCTCTCTCTCTCTCAAAAATCAATAAATATTTAAAAAAATAAATAAAAAAAATTAAACCTCAGTAAAAACACATCACTACATGCTTACAGACCTTCGGGGCTCTTTGTGCATAACCAAAAAGGAGAATCTGAAGTGATGGAATGCCAGGTGTTGCCTGTGAAGTAGAATGAGTACCATGACAGAGGAAGATGCCCAGGGTTAGGGGAAAAAAGAGGCAAGGACACAGACCTGGCTTCTTAGGTGGCCTCTGGGCTGAGTTTCTAAGAATCAGTAGAGGCTGGCAGCAGGAGTGGGTGGTGGGTAGGTGGTAGTAATTATACCAGACAGAGGGAAAGCAATGACCAAATTCCTACACAGCAGAACTGCATGGTATGTGCATGTAACCATAGCAGTTGTATATTCCTAGAACTTAAAGAAAGATGAGACATAACTGAGGAAACATAGGGACCAATCTCTGAGGTCACCTTCTGTCCCTTTCAGCATCTAGATATATTCGATAGCCACTGAAAGGTAAACACTCCATGTGGTCTGTTTCACATTGAGTGAGCACCTTCTATGTCCTGTCTTCACTAGAGAAGTCATCCTTGACTATCCATAACATATATAACATTTATACATAACAAATGCTGGAAAAGCCTCTTGAATTTAGCCCCCAACTACACAATTTGTAATTTTCTGCCAATTCCATCTTCCCACTATTTCAGAGATTATTTTCATCTAGAAATACTACCAGTTTTCAATATCTTGTTTTGTCTTTGGTTTATTTCTCTGGTGCAGTCTCAGAACTAATGCACATCATATAATTTAAAACCTAGAGGGAGTTGAGAAATAATCAAATGAAGCCCTTTTCTTGCATAACATATAGAATTGTCGAATCACTATGTTATACACCTGAAAATAATAACACTATATATCAATTACACTTCAATAATAAAAATTAAAACAAACGGATAATCAGAGAATTAAAAACTAAATGAAATAACATGGGGACCTGTGATCCAGGGAGGTGACTAATGGGTCTGAGAAAACAAAGCCAAGGAGCTTCAGAGTCAGGGCGTCAACGTGGGCTCCTGATAGCTTGCCTAATGAAAAGAAGAAATACAGATCTGTCAGAGGTTCTAGGGACTGAGTTAAAAAATAAGTTAATATTTTTACATTTTGTTTGCTCCAAGTTATTTTTTATCTTTTCTTTTCCAGAGGTTTATCTTTGGTCATTTTTTCTTATGTCAACGATTTTTATAATTTCCTTTAAAGAGAAGGAAGTGTGTGTTTTAAGTATAAATGATAAAACAGTTTCAGTAGAAACAAAGAAAAACAATTACTCCAAACATACTTAACTGTATTATTAAAAAAAAAATACTGATTCATTCAATCACTCTCACACATAGTTGAAAGATTCTTACAGAGGGTGGAAAGTTGAGGTAGTCATTCAGCCTTTCAAAAGCTAAATATTGGGGCGCCTGGGTGTCTTAGTCAGTTAAGCGTCTGACTTTCGCTTAGGTCATGATCTCGCGGTTCGTGGGTTCGAGCCCCTCGTCGGGCTCTGTGCTGACTGCCAGCTCAGAGCCTGGAGCCTATTTCAGAGTCTGTGTCTCCCTCTCTCTCTGACCCTCCCCTGCTCACGCTGTCTCTCTCTCTCTCCTAGAAATAAATTAAAAAAATTAAAAAAAAAAAGAAAAAGAAAGAAAAAATAAAGCTAAATATTAATTAAAGTAATGTCATTTTGGGGTGCCTGGCTGGCTCAGTCAGTAGAGCATGTGACTCTTGACCTGAGGGTTATGATTTTGAGCCCCATGCTGGGTGCGGAGTTTACTTAATAAAAAAATATTAATAAAGTAATGTGATTTTGAGTAGCACTTATGGGTGTTTTTCTTATCTTTCAGATATCACATAACTTTTCTGTGCAGATTTTAATAAAGTTATGACCACTTGAGCATTCTATGTAACTTTTAATGGGATTCTGTTTTTAACTGAGTTTTGTCTCCTGTAAATGATTTCTGACACTTCATAAATTCACAAGTAAAAGTGAAACACTATCATGCTTCAGTTTGGTGAGTCAGCAAATCTTATGAGAGGAAAACAGAATTCTAACCTTATTCAAAGAAACTAAAAGGTGAGTGAGTTTTGTTTTAAACCCTACACGTGCAAATCATTGTTAAAACCTGCATTTTCTGTTAATGAATTGCAGTGTTAGGATGTTTTTAAATGATCATTTAATTCACAGTGGTACAGCTCACATACTACATATAGGCATTAGTTAAGCTTAATGCTTCCCTGAAACTATTAAAACCACATTCTTAGAGTAAATATTTTTAATGTCAACATAACTTGTCTCCCAATATAAAATAAAAGCCAGTAAACCCATGATCATCCTGCAAATTTGCGTCTTCTTGAAACACTTCACTTATCTGGCCTCACTTTGCTGGTCTGTGGAATAATAGACCAGGTTAGCTAACATCTAAGATGCCCTCAGGCACAAAAACTAGAAAGCAAATTTTAATTAAGTTTATAAACATTTATATCTAAGAAAAAACTTCAAGATAATGAACTTATCTTCCTTTTTAAAGATGGGTTAAGTGGGGTTCTAAAAATGGGGAAGACTTGTCCAAGAGCAGGTTAAGAATCAAGTTCTCAAGAAGGAAAGCTGGGATTGAAACACTAATCTCTCCTATCAGCAACCTAATGCTCTCCTCAGCCTCTCCCTCTTTCCCAAGAGATGTTTCTCAAAGGAAAATATCCAACACACCATTTCATATCCTAAGAAACTAGAAAAAAGAAAAAGTCAAGGTATTCTCTAAAAGACCATCATCCTATTAATTAGTTAAAAATGTTATGTCCCCACAAAACAAACAAACCACGAAACTCAAATGGCTCACTGGGGTGCCTGGGTGGCTCAGTTGGCTAAGCATCCAACTTTGGCTCAGGTCAGGATCTCAAGGTTTGTGGGTTCAAGCCCGTGTCAGGCTCTGTGCTGACAGCTCAGAGCCCGGAGCCTGCTTTGGATTCTGTGTGTGTGTCTCTCTCTATCAAAAATAATAAATAAACATTAAAAAATAAAAAAAGCTCAAATGGCTCAGAAGGGGCCTGGGTTAGGCCCTGCTCTTCTATTTCTTAATTAAAGCCCAGCTTGCAAAGGATAATCAATGGTGAATTTTCTGCTACAACAAAAACCAGGGCACAAATAACAAAGAGGCTGGCATTTGAAAACAAAAAACCTCACAAAGAAATCCACAAGAACAAATAATATAAAATGGATTAAAAGACTGGGGACAGGAAAAGAATAGGTTGTCTTTGCTAAAGAAAAGATTTTTAAAAATCCTTACTTATAAATTGTACTCACCTTTGATTTTACGTAGACTGGCTTATATAGCTTTATGTCAATTCAAATTTAGCATACAGATGTTAATCTCTAATACTTATGATAGCTTTTTCTCTAAAAGCTTAACTTCAAGGTGAAGAAGGAATGAACACCTGAGTCAGATAAAGGTCCCAATCACCTCCTATAAAGAAATACTATATACCCCTCAACTACCAACACAGAACATTGTTAAATGATAGTAATACATGTTTTCCTTAAATTATATTTCAAAACTGAATTTTACAATTGTAAAACTCTTACCAATTTTTAAAAATTTTATGGAAGAATTATCTAAAATAAGTTTATCTTCTAACATTGTGTTGTCCAAATATAGTAGCCACTAGCTACTAATGGATATTAAGCACTTGAAAGATGGCTAGTCTGAATTTAGATATGCTTTTAGTGTACACTGGATTTTGAAGACTTAGCATATTCCCCCCAAAAGGTAAAACATCTCATTGATAAATCTATTTTATTTATAATTTAATATTTATATAAAGTACATATCTTTTATATCAACATATTTGCATATATTCATATTTTTGATAAAGCTATATCAAAACATTATATATAAATACATACACATTCTATTTTATATTTAATTATATTTTATATGTTAAACATGTACTTTTGTATTTTATTTTGAAATGATATTTTGGATATATTGGGTTAAATAAAATATATTATCTAATTTCATTGTTCCCTTTTAGCTTTTTAAATGTGACAACTAATACTTTTTAAATTACATACGTGACTACCGTTATAGTTTTGCATATATCCTTGGTCTAAGGCATTGAGCAAATCAGCAAAGAGTTAGAAATTAATTTCATAACTCAAGTCATCAATATTCTGTACAGATACAAATACCTTTAAATAGTTCTTTCTCCCTAGAAGCTCTGATAATTATTGTCAGAAATGTCAGTACAAAAATAAAATTTCATATATGTATATGACAGAGACTGTAGATGTGTGTATAGAAATATATACAGACATATGTTTATATAGTCTTTTTAAATGACCTACATAATGACTGCATACATATTTTCATAATAATAAATTGCTTTCAAAAGGTCCAAATCTATGTACAAAATGTACTAAGAGTTTCAAATCAGATTCATGGAAATAAGAAGTGGATAAACTACTCTAAGACCCTTAAAAATAAACCCATCAAAGTGAAAAGATAAAGACACACTCACTCTATAAATATATATATATATATACACACACCACATAAATATATACCTTCAAATATAAAGCATATATACATATTTACAGATGGAACACATTGTATATAATTCTTATACAAATATATAGAAATATATGAATGGTTAATAATATTACAGGCATGATGGAAGTGTGTGAATGTATTGACTACAACTCTATGAAATTTCAAATAAGTATAATGTTAGCAACCAGAGTAATTAGGGAGACATTAATGTTTACAAAGTTCATTCTTTAACATTAAATTTATAAGATGAAGTAGAGCATAGAGATGATCAAGTTATTTCTTATGCCTATACAGCATCACTGAAAGCTAGGAGAGAATTTATAGATTATTACAATTTCCTTTTTTCACAGGGAAAGAACTAAGGCTCAGGACTGAAGAAAATTTCCAAGGAACAGAGGAAAACTCTTTCACTAGTCTTAAATTACCGAAATATGCACACACCAGTAAGTAGTTTAAAAATGTCTGTGTTATGCACAGGTCCGGTAAACAAACTACCACAGTTCCTTTCTCTGGAAATGGTGTGTGTTCAAGGACTCTTCTTGGTAAGGTTGTAGCTGCTAACTCATTTTTGGGTTTGGGCTGGCTTAAGAGCAAGAGATGAAGGCAGCCCAGGTAGAGGAGGGAGAAGCAAGAAGGGGACCTTAAAAGTCAGGAGCAAAGAGAAGCAGACAGAAAAGAAGTTCTATATTTTCATGGGTTGCAACCAACAGAACCCCTCTTGCCTACACTGGGTCATCAGTTGGTGTTGAGAAAGTAATCAAAGAATTCTTTTCCAGTTTCTCTCTACTTTCTTAGGGGAGAAGTTTACAGGATTAAATAACAGCAATACCCAGAGTGAATACAGCACAAGACTGTTTTGTTGTTATTGTTGTTGTTTTTTGATGCGGATCAGAAAAGACAGGGCCATGGGCATATACCTGGTAGTGTAGGTAGAATTACCAGGAAGAAGTCAAAGGGGCACAGGTCCAAGTCAGGAGTGCAGAAAAAGAATAGCAGGAAGCAGAAAGGAGGGAGTGGTTTGGCACCAATGCCAAGTTTACCTACTTCACAATGATGCCTGTGCTGCCTATGTCAACAATGAGGAGAGTGCATTAGAGACTACAATACTAATCCTGGCCTTCAGGGAGCAACAGGTGGAAGAAAACACCCTAGAGTGATGATGACCAGTCTCCCTCCTCATTCACTGTAGGGAATCATGGCTCTTGGTATTGCGCTGGGCACCTTCTCTCATAACTTCCACTCTTCATGCACCACTGCTCATTTCTTTGGAACTAACCAGCATCATGACTATAACTACTGATGTTCCCTTCTTTCTGTCTAGAATGGATGGGCTTCACTCCCTCCACCCTTTCTCATCCTGCTGCGAAAGTTGAAGACAGAGTTAGCTAGTATTGTTGACTAGGGTGTCCCAGAAAACAATGTGGAAACTGAACACTGTGTATGACACAGCTTCACTCTGCAGCTTCCACACTGCTTGCTGGAACACTCTCTCTAGG